TTTAAGTACTTTGCTGAACTGGAACAGCAGGTCTCGGTTCACCAAGGTATTTAATTACCTCTCTATCTTTAGTATTAAGAAGTTTACTTCATTTCTAGCGGAATGATTAAGTATTTAAAGTTGCTTTATAGAGAGTATCCTGGTAGAACTGTGCCAGGTCCACCTTCTCCATCAACACTAGAGGCAAAGCAGTCAGACACAGCMACATTTATTTCAACTCTCCAGAAAATACACCATCAATAATGTCTCTCTAAATTGCAAGGGTGTCTTTCAGTCACATCATAAATTGCAAGTCAACCTTTAGAAACATCTGCACAGGTCACAGCTTAAAGTACCACGTACTGATACATATCCATTTTTAAAGTCACTTTACACAGCTCTACCTTGATCATGATCACAAAGAGAACAGTTGTACCCATAATTTACCTCAAGCAGCTCACCAAGAAGGAAATATTTCATGTGCTCTTGGTTATTAAATGAGGCTAGTTAATAAGTGTTAGCAGAGCTGTACAATTTCTCTTTTTACCTAATGGAACAAAAGGGGAATATGAGACGAAGGATGAAGAAAATAAGTTTTAACTTTATAAGAACTTCCTGAAAATCAAAATACATGCTTGGAACATATGTTGCTCTGTGATGCAATTGTAAGAAAAAAATAGAGAGTGTATTCGATAAAAACACCACTATTGTGATCAACAAGTGTTTTCAAATGAAGAGGAAGTAACAATTATTTTAGTAGAATAAAAAAATGCAAACCAGCTTTCCCATCTCTGAACAAAGGGCACAACTGTGAAGTGTTACACTTAGCCCTTAACAGCATGTGAAATAAAACCCTGCATTAACAGCATGTGAAATAAAACCCTGCATGCATTGACTTCACAGGGAGGGTCCTGTCACTTGCGCTAGCAAAAGTAGAGAGGAAGAAAGTATCTGTTAGTCAGGTTTCATTCCCATTCACAAGAATTGCTTGGCACTACAGATCTCCCTTGGCTAAAAACAAGATAACATTTCCTCCTTAAGACAATCAAAATAATTTCAGACTGAACCCTACAATCCTAATGGAGTGTAGGAGCAAATGGCTCAAAGCATCCTGGCCCATCAAGGCTACTTGCAGCTTCATCCTTCCTCCAAGGCATCTCTAGGTGTCCTGAATGCAAAGAAAACCTTTCTGTGGACATTTTGGTGCAGAGAGAAATTGATGCAAGAGCCTGGTATATCATCTTGCTCCCTCACTGGGAAGAAATAACACAAAACATCTTTAGAAGAGAAACAGAGAGGAGGTGGGCGTATGCTAATATGGATATGGAGGGAGAGCAAAACACACCACAATCTTCAAATGTCCACGTAAGCTGAGAAAACCAGTGTGGGAACAGAAAGAAAGTTGTCTAAACTTCAAAAGATGTAGAACAGAGCCTTTGAAGATGAGCCCTTTCTGAATTACAAGGAGCACTGGAAGAAACAYGAAAACCGCTTTATTTCTGCTGTTTTGTGTGCCACTAAGATGTAAGACAGGACTCAGAGCTATCAGYTGCCTTTTGTTGGTTTGTTTGTTGGATGGTTATTCACAGGAATGGCAGCTTTTATTTCAGCACTACAGATAAAAGTATTGCACTGAAATTTAAATGTCAAAGAATACATACTCAAATGTCAAATACCAACAGACAAATGCCAACAGAGAAATGTCAGAAATACACTCATGTCTCCCACTGAATGTAACTACATCTGCACAAATGCAAGCCATAGTATGGTGTGTAAAAGCAAGTGTTTTCTTTCAGTTCCTTTGGGGTTGTAATGCCGCTGGTGTCAATAAAATCACTATCTGGCAGCAATCTGACTGTATTACTCCAAGTACCCAACTCTGGCAGAAAGTATGAGTTAAGTGATCCATGGTCTGCAAGGTGATGGGTAACATTTACAGTCATAAGGGCACAAAATTGCTGTTTCAGGCAAATCCCACTCTGGAATTTGCTGACTTGTCACTAGATGATGGAGCCCAACACAATCACCTTTCTCATAAACCCTCCCTCTGCTTTAGAGGTAGCCCATGAAAGTTGAAGGAGGGGATGTGAAGACAGTTTCTCGTAGATATATGGCTTAATTTGTCCAAATAAAACAAACAKAAACATGAATTCTTGGTGTACCCTGAACTATCTGCTCTTTGAATCCTGGGAATAATCACTGATGAATATAAGTGACCTTTGCAGAAGTGTAAATGACTCCAGAACCCAAGCACAACTGACTTCAAGCAGAATTTGGGCTCAAGAAATTCGAGTGTGTGTTAAGTCTTACTGGCTTTATTAAAATCAATTGATCATTCTTCAGGAAAACAAAATAACAATTCTTTACACAATTGATTTGATGGGAATCTCTGGTCCCAATTATTTTAATGGGCCTTTTGGAATGATTTTACCTGTCATTATCCCCTACAGAAGTACTTGAAAATACGTTGATCAGGGAAGATGCATTAGCTTAGAAATTTCAGTCARTCTGTTAATTGCAGCTGCTTCTACTAGAGTTGAGAAATAAAAATGCTTAGGTATTTCTGCAGGCAGATCACTGAATACATGAAAATCTGAAATGTACTGTAAYTAGTGGAGTTAACAAAAATATATCTGACTCCTGTAATTATTGCAATTTGCTTCCAACACTAGTAGCTCATATACTGTAAAGTAAAAACTAATCAAAGATAAAAGAGGTGAACTTCTGTCAAATACTAAAACCCCCCAAAAACTTTCTTCTGTCTCTGAAGTGATTGTTTTAAGAAACCCACCTTTTTTTAGCTCTGTGACATTGACTAGAAATACCATATTAATTTAAATTTTTTTTACTCGATTGTAAAAATTTGCGATAATTAATTGGAATTATTTTTTGAATGACATTTCTGAGAAGAATGACCACATTCTCACAATATACACAGAAATTTCTTTCTAAAGAAAATTCCTTTCTGTATGTCAGGACTCTTTCTGAAGCTTTCTCTGGATTGCTGAATGCAGTTTAGGAAAAAAAATAATGAAAGAGTTTTAATCTGTTCTGCTCTGGAGACTTTATTTTTTTTTAACCAGCTGCAACACATCACAAAACTCTAAGAAGAGGCATTTACTGACCATCTTCTCCAACAGGAAAAATTTCTTACAATATCTATATTTAAGTGCTCATCTTGTAAGTATAAAAAAAACCCAAAACCCCACATACTTTCAGTATCTGATTTTTAAACCTTGATTTTCTCCTCAATAGTGTTGTATGATGCTGAGTTTCATCATCTAATTATATTCTGRGCAAAGTTCTACTCTCTTTGAGCAACTTTAAATCCGTTTCCTTCCAAAGACAGATAATGTCACTTGGTTGATGAACTATCATAAAGAGTAAACAAGGAAGGTTCAAAAAGCCTGTTTGTATTATCCCCAATGTTTTACACAAGTTASGTGTGCCCACAGTTATTAAAAATAAACTCTACCTTAGCTTAAATTAGCAGTACAATTCTAAATTACACTATCAAAAGACATTTAGAATAGCTGGGAAGTCTTTTTTGTACTTCTACATTGCCAAGATCTTTTTGTGAGTCTTCTCTTTCTTTTCTATCTTTTTGGGAATGAAAGAACACAATTTGGTGCTTCACTCAGGCATTCACCCAGACAGGCCTGAAGTAAAAAAAAACCCCAAAGTCAACCAATTAAATTAAATGAAAAGATACAGATTTGTCTCAGGAAGGTAGCTCTAAAGAACAAATAGCTCCTCAGTGCATAGCATGGAAAATAAGTCAAAATATGTTGAAACAAACAGAAGTTGAAGGGAATAAGGATTTATCCAACATCCTGGTCTCCCAAAGAGTCTGTGAAGTACCTCCAAATAGCAACAAGATCCAGTTCTCTCTAGTTTTTAATGAATCTCTCAGGACCTCTGTTCAAGGTGATATAACTATAAGCACATGCGTACATTAAGGTATTGATGAGAGACAAAACAGCAGGAACAGAACTACAATTCCAATGAATATTGAAGGAAAAAATTCAGGTTTTTGACGCTTTAGACTTATCTCTTCCTCTTTTCAGAGCACTTATCTGTTRCTCCAGAAGGTATGCAGACAAATGATGTACTTCATCATATAGTGACACTGACACAAGGAACCAGTTTACCTATATTAAGAAAAGTCTATCATTTCCTTTCAGACAATCACTTCATGTTCCTCCCTTATAAAACCCAGTATGATGTGACACACTAAATGAAGAGATCTTGCTGTTTTTCAGGAAGCYTGTCTTGGAACATGAGTTGCTCCTGGAAAAGCCTTTTAAGACTTTAATTTACCTGTGAAGTTCCATAAGACTTCTGCATACCAGATGAGCACTTGTTCAAAGTTAAGGATATGCRTTGCAAATAGACACCTGTTTTCACCTTTTCTTACACAGGACTTTAAATTTAATTTTAGACTGACAAAACTTAAATGCCAAGAAAGAGTAATTTTGCTGGAGATACATGCCATTCCCTGTAAAAGTCCAAGTCCAAGCATTTGGATTGTCTCTGGCAGCTGAGTACATAACATTAACTCATCCTGTAAAAGTAAACTTCTAAAACACCATATATTTATTTCATGAAGAGCCTACAGAAATTTTACCTATTCAGCAAGAAATTTTCTCTTTCCATAGCTATTAATTTCAAGTATCTAGCAGGTAGAGCAGTCCACTTTGACCAAGTATCAGGGACCAATCTGAGTGCTCTAAACATAATTCAGTGTAAAATTTTCTGGTTTGGAAGGGTTACAAAACAACACTGGTCTTTTGGGACAGACGATTGGCAGCTTAAGATATTCTGTATTGCAAATGACACCTTGATCCAAGGCCTATTTGAAATTAAAAAAAATAAAAGGTTATCTCAAAGTTCAAGGCTTTTCTCCAGCCTCTTACTCCATGTTACCTGCCATCAAATGCTTTTCTGTTAACATGGAACACAAGRAAGATTTTGAAAAGATCAGTAAAAACAGTCTCGTGTTTGAATATATGCAGCCTCACCTTGCGGATGCCTCTGCCGAGATCTTCTCCATAGTTCGTCCCCAAAATTTCAAAATGCACATTGGGATTCCCCCCATTTTCTGCAAATTCCAGTTCTCCAGTCAAGCCATTCACTCCACCCTATGGGGGAAAAAAAGGAAAATAGAATGAAAACTAATGAAGAGGTAATTGCAATAACCTTTTGTTTCTCAATGGGATTTACACATTAATTATGCAGAATACACAGGTAACTATCAGAACTTGGACGGTTTTCAAAGACCACTTTCTCTAAGAATTTTGAATTAGTTCTTTAATTTTTCCTGCATCATAATTAAGTTCTTCACAGAAGAATTAAACACAGCACTGTTAAGCAGATGCAATACAAGCAACAATTTTAGTCTTAGAATATTTGTTTTTTAACAAATAACCAATTTTTGTTCTTTGACCCATCAACACATATGTTTTGACGCTCTAAACCCAACAATTACAGAAAAAAGAGTTTTGCAACTAATTATAGTGAAAACAAAGCTAAACAGAAATATATAAAAGATATTGCACAAAAAAWTCGTGATGTTGGTTGATTTTTGCTTTCTCCCCTCAAATGTTTCTCTGCCATGAAAGATTTCTGCATAAGGGCAGGTTGAATTTTACATGAAGTTACATGCTTTTGGAGCTCAACAAACGTGCTAGCTGAATGCAGTGATTTTTCTTTTTCCTCCACAACTGTTCTTTAATACTAAGAATACATAACATGAGTAACAACGCAGCATTTCTTCAAGTTTGCTTTATCTTTTTTACATTTTTGCTGGAAGGGGTTAAAATACTAGAGATGAAACAGTGAATAATCCCTAAAAAGAATTAGAGTTGAAAGGGCTATACATCCACAGCCATACTCAAAACATATTTCAGAGTTAATTCAACATGACACACATTTCATCTTTGTATAAGAACTGTGATGACCTGAACTACAAAATCAACAGAACCATGTGAAACACTGATAATGAAAACCTTTACCCTTCAAAAATTTCTTCAGTTTGCAAATTCAGGGAAAATTTGATGTTTAGCCCTCTCCCTTGAAAAAAAAA